TCGCAAGGTAAAATGTAGAAGAAAACAGCCTGATCAACACTTAATAAAATACGGTTGACAATCTTCCTAACTGTTCCTTCTAAATGTTGGTTTAGACTTGGAAACTTAGTAGATAATCTTGAGAAATTGTTGCTTGTCCCTGTAAAAAGTTAAAAAGTTAAATATACAATGTGAATCACATGCGACATTGCTCATTTTTTTGTAATTTTTCCATCTTCTTGTTGATGTGCTATACCTTTCTAGTTTCCATATATTTAACTGGATTAGTGTAATGTTTCCAGCATATCATTCGTTTGTGTATGTATAAATATTTTCTTGGAAATATATTTACATAGAGGAATGATTACAGGATGTAGTTTATACACAACTATCGAGTTTGGAGATGAACCAGAATATAACAAAATATTTGTTTTTCATTATAGCATGTTGTATATTTATTATAATAATAAGCCTAGACTACTATGAGAACTTCTTTTATGATTATTGAACTACTATGGTGGAGTTTCACTTAAATATGTTACTGATTAATAAAGAACCTTACACAAGAGAGCATTGAATCAAACCTAAACATTTATTGTTATAGGAACTTTTTTTTTTTTTCCAATAGTCACCTTAAGAAAGGCACAAAAAAATTGGCCATAATGCTTATCCAGGCAAGTAGAGTGTTGCAAACATGGACTGTCATATCAATTCACATACCAACCGAGTGTCAGAATTCTGGGTTGTACACTGAATCAGTAAAAAAATATCTTTATCGAATTTTTTTGTTTTTGATAGTTCTTAATTTTCCATTTGAAGTTTTATTATCCTAGACTTTTTATCAGATGCTGTGATTACCTCTTGAAGATATTTGTTATAGGCATATCGCAGAACTATGATCCTCTACACTAGATAAGGAAGTTACCCAGCTACAAATTCTCACTCTTCTTAATGAAGGGAAAGTGATGATGCAAATCTGTTGCATGCTTCTGCAGTGGTTCATTCTGCTGGCTGACTCATATCATTACTCATGTTTCATATCTTGGTTTCAGCAAACTATACATTCTTTATTGTTCTACTGGGTTATGTTCTTTTTATTGGTTGATAGAGTTAAAAAAACCTAAAATATGAACTTCTGGACTGCATTCGGTTCAGGGTTAAAATAGCCTAATAAGTCTAAGAAGTTGCTAATCCAGCAATGTAATTTGGGTTATCTGGCTTAGGAAAGCAGAGGGGATTATTTTAGCCCATCCTTTTAGTTGGACAGTTCATCCCAAGTTATCCAGGTATAACTCTGACCAGATTAATTTAACCATCCTCAACTCTAGATCTTTTGGATATTTAGCCTATAACCACTACTTTAAACCTTCTGAAACTTGATATAAATGCAGCCTTGTCATGAATTTTTGAGTTAGCTTAGACTTGCAAATTGTAGTGGAGATGACAAACCTCCTTGTCTCATTGGTCTTCGTGTCTTCAGGAAACTGCTCCAGACAATGAGTACGAGAAGTCGATGAGATCATATATCATCCCACCTAATGAAATTACAGTCACGTTTGAGGATATAGGTGCCTTGGATGAAATCAAAGAACTTCTTCAGGAGCTGATTATACTTCCACTGAAACGGCCAGAACTCTTCAAAGGTCTTCTAAAACCCTGCCGGGGAATACTACTTTTTGGGCCACCCGGGACTGGGAAGACAATGCTAGCTAAGGCCTTAGCACATGAAGCAGGGGCTACTTTCATCAATGTTTCAATGTCCGCCATTGCGTCGAAGTGGTTCGGAGACAGCGAGAGTAATACAAAGGCATTGTTTACACTTGCTGCAAAGGTTGCCCCTGCTATCATTTTTATAGATGAAGTTGATAACATACTTGGGCAAGGAACAGGGGACAGAGACAAAGTAGCAAGTGTAAGGAACGAGTTCATGATCCACTGGGATGGACTTCTGACAAAGTCCGAAGAAAGAATTCTTGTTCTTGCAGCAACAAACCGACCATTTAATCTTGATGAAGCAATCATCAGAAGGTTTGAGCGCAGGTTTGTCTAGCTACATCTCCAGATTACACCTGGAAGAGTAAACATAATAATTTATTATATAAGACCTAAATATTTCCTTTGATGTGGTTGAACAGAATCATGGTTGGATTTCCATCCCTGGAGAGCAGAGAATTGATATTGAGGACACTTCTGTCCAAAGAAAATGCCGAGCAACTTGACGTCAAGGAGCTTGCGACTATGACGGTGGGATACAGTAGTAGTGATCTCAAGGTTGGTGACATCTTCTGGTTTTCTGTCATAACTTTATACGGATGCTAATTATTCTTTGCATTGTTGGCAGAACCTTTGTGTTGCCGCAGCATATCGCCCTCTCAGGGAGCTGATCCAGAGAGAAAAGTCTATGAGATTGGTAGGTTTGACTTCTCGTTGTTTCATACGTTTCGGAGCACACTTAATAAACTTTGTGCTTTCTACGTTCCAAATTCCTTCTACATATGCAAGATAATGTAATTTGGGTTATTAATATTCTCCTCCTCTTTACTGCATTGCTTGTCCTGGACAATATATGTGTTCTCTCAAGGACCAAGTGAGGGTGGAAGTCCATTGTTTTTTATATGAGGAGATTAATATGTCTATGGAGTCGCAGGTAAAGACATGATAAGAAATGTGCACATACTTGAACAATTGTGGGTAGCTCCAAGCAACAGATATGTTGATAAATAACAATTTAAGGTGGTTTAAGTATGTCGACGGAGACATTTAGATACGCCAGTTGGATGAGCTGAAGTAATCAAAATTAGTAATTCGACTTGAGTGCTCTTAGTTTATCTGATGATATTGCTTTAAAATAGCTCAATCAGTAAAAAGATCCATTCATTCACACCCTATTATTTGGAAGTCATGACTTGTTACTGTTGGTGTATTGTGAGATCGAATTGATCTGAAAGTTGCATTTGCTGCTCAGTTTTCATGCTGATCTTTTCGATCTTACATCCTTCTTCGAAAACATATTGTTAGCTGAATTAATAATGTCTTGGCTTGTTGTTTCTCATTGATTCATGCTTTATGATAATCTTTCTCGTGTCAGAAGAAGCAGTCGACTACCGAGGAACAGAGTATCGAATCGGCTACTGCCTGTCGGTCACTAAACATGGAAGACTTTAGGGAAGCAATGAACCAAGTAAGTTCTGACTTGCACTTCTGACATCTTTTTCCATTTTAAGAAGGATCTACATATAAAAGTTGACTTTTGTCACCGGCTTCTAGAAGCATTTCATGTCTCATTAATATGCATATACTAGGTGTATAGAAATTACGTCCAGATCAGCGTATTCACTCAATAATTTACGGGTCCAGAGCTTTTTCATATATCTCCCTGTGCCTTTTTCTTCCTACTTTGTTGAGTTAAAATTGGTGTTTTAAGTTATTGTATTTTTGGAACTGTGTTGAGTTAAAATTGGTATCATACATCTCCCTGTGCCTTTTTCTTGCTACTTTGTTGCAACATAGTCCCCTCATGAGACACAAATCATATCTTCTTAATTGTATAATGCAGATTGCTGCAAGTTGTACTAGTGAGAGTTCTCCGTCGAAACAACTGGAGCAGTGGAATGAATTGTATGGAGATGGAGGCTCGAGAAAGAAGCAACAACTATCGTATTTTTTCTGAAGAATAATACATGTGTACATACACCGAAGTGGGATTTTTAACTTAAAAGGCCGCTATGCAAAGCTACAGCAAATCCATTGAAGAATTGTATATAATATAGGGTCCCTGAAACTGTAGAATTTGGTCCGAGTAAAAAGGCAATTTGTAAATCCAATTGGAGCATAGCCTATTTTGAGTAGTTTTATAGTGATTTATGAGTTGAATTGTTTTTAGGATTTTCTTTCCCTTCTTTCTTTTCCTGAATCAGTTTCCATGTATCAATGTATCAATGAAGTTTTACTAAATCTCCTGTGAGGTAAGAGTGACAACAAGAATCACACTGTAGTGTTGCATGATGTTTAGTGAATGCAGCAGAAGGATGAAAAATGATAACTCTTAAAGTACATATTTTTGAAACAATTTATAATTTAATTCTTAAACATATATATATATATATATATATTATTTTTTTCTGTGGGAGAGTACCATATAACTGGATTTTGATTTTCCAAACCTTGTCAAAGACAACCATTCCACACGCTCATGAGGATAAAATAGGTCTTCCATGAGGCTTCATACTATCTAATTTTCAAATCTATTAAGCTTTTTGATCTGTCACAAAACTTCCTCTATTTATTTCTCCTATTAACTTTTCTCAACCAAATGGATCGATAGTAAGCGTTCTCTTATTAATTTTGAAGATATCAAGTGGTAATAAAAATCATGATCTTTGGTAGTAAGATTTTGAGATCAAATTCCATCTTGCCAAAAAAAAAAAAAAAAAAACCTATCAAATTCTATCGTATGGATTGAATTATGATCACACAATTTATCCATTGTGACCCAAAGAAATCACCGACTAATATTAGAATTGGAATTCCTATTGCAGATATAACTAGAGAAGATAACAAACGTTTTCTAGTGTTATTTCGATGGTTGCTTTGTTGTCTTGGACGGTTAGAAATCCCACGTGCATAAATTAAACGATCGTGATTTCTTTGGAAACTTATCGGAGGGTCAGAATAATAGCCGTACATGTTATAGACGTCGGAAATAATCAAGTCGAAAAATCTTTTTCTTCTATCTTAGAATCACCTCGGACAATCTTACACATATGGATTCGGATCACAATAATAATATCAATGATTAATTCCCGTAATAATAATATATTTATAAAAAAATTAAATCCTAATTTTTAAGTTTCGGACTTATTTTCGTAATATAATAGGATAAGAATTGTAAAATACTTGGATTCTAATAGTTTTAGAAGATTGATTAGATTACGATTCGGATGGGAAGAGGGAACCCACTCCGATTCGAACTCGTTCGCTCGTGCTCTCCCTTTTCCGCTTCCCCCTCGAGTTCGGGGTCAGATTCCATGGCCGACTGCCCTTTATATACCCCTAACCCCTCCACAAACCCATCCACCGCTGCGGTTCCTCTCTTCCCTCGCTCTCCTCTCTCCTTCTCTTCTCCGGGCTATACGTCGCTCTGTTCCGCAGGTTGGAGTTTAAGATGACGAACGCCAGAATCGACGATCTTGAAAAAAGATTGACCGGCCTTGAGAAGGAGCTCCGTGGAGGATTAGAGGATTTAAATTCGAGAATGTTATCGCGCTTTACGGATGTGGACCGGCGGGTGGAGGTTGTGTTGCACAAGTTGGAAGGTTTGACGGGACGGGAACGTGGTATTGTTCGAAGATCTGATGATGCGTTGCTTAAGCGGATTAGGGACGTAATTTGGTCATATTTTTTCTCTTCTACCTGGACGATTGGTGCCATAGTAAAAACAGAAGATGCTCGTTCTGCTGATTGGCGGGAGAAGGTCTATCGAGAGGTGCGTGACGTTCATAAATTCAGCTTTTTTTTCTGGATTAATTAGGATTGTATCAAGTGAAAAATCTCATATTAAGATATTTAATCTTGTATATTCCGATATTGTTGTTACGAACAGACTTGCGCTAACATATGTTCATCCAGAAATTGCATCACCTGGTAGTGTACTAGTTAATCGCCATTTGTTTAGGTTAGGTAAATTTCTTAACAAAGATTCAGATTTGCGAGCACTTGTAGGACCTAGTACATACTTACTATGTGGTAGTCCTAATTATTTTCTTCGTGAGCTGGATACAAGTGTATATTGGTCACTCATGGCCATATTCATATAAGCTCACTTCTCCCTGAGTTTTATGTTGATTAGTTGATTTTGCAAGTTACACTCTATCAGACTTTCGTTGTTTCTGTCTTAGCCATGGCTGTTTTTGGATGCAATCGACGGGTCTCTCTTCAAGTGATGCTATAAGCAAGGATCAAACTGATATTGTGCCCTTCCCTGTTATATGGCTGAGTCAGCACTCCAACTTTTCAAATGTGTTGAGTGTTAATATTTTCTAGTACCAAATTATTTGGAAAATTAAGATAACTACAATCTTCACTTGCATGCCACTTGTCAAGCAGACAAGATCATACCTTCTAAGAAGGATGGAAAGAAGTTACAAATCAGGAAAAATTACAAGTCCATCTATATAAGATTAAAAGACCATCTATTCTTTAATGTGTCACCCAGTTAGAGTTCTTTGTGCTGAATTATGAATGTGGTATGATTAGAGTCAAACATCATGTAAGTGGATGGATCTATAATATGTATTTGGGTGCAAGTTACTTCAAAATAAAGGTTATTTATTTGTGAGATGTTTGAATTATAACATCTTGCAAGCTGTTTTAATACTAGTACAGTCCCTCCAAGACACTGGGAAGGGTAGACAGGAAATTAGATACATATCAAAAGTTACCCTTTTCTCGGTGAATCATGCATATATGAGCCACATTACTAAATACTTATGTGGAATTATACTCTCTTTTCCTGTCAATTGGCATTCATAAATCCTGACATGTCTCGAGGATTCAAGTTTGCGGGCATGTTAACCAGCAAGCTTTTGGCCGAAAAAAAAAAGAAATAAAAAACAACAAGCACAAAAGAAACGAAACAATGTGGTCCTCTTCTCTCTTTTCTGGCCTTATCTACATTTGTGGCCTCTCTTCGCTTCTTCAGTGAGGATGTAAGATGATGATACAAGGTGAGGCAGTAGGTTGTTGTCACCTTGCAGCAGGAGGTCAGGAAACCTTTAAACAGAAGGGTTAAACTATCCAATGGAATTTAAGTATATGATCCTTTTATTCCTCTACATTTTATGTATGTTCATATGAAATTTGTGCATTTAGTTATGTTTTTGCCTCACAAGACATTTAGTTACTGAATTCTATGGAAATTCTTCAATATGATTTCTTCCTTGGCAGATACAAGACATTAAGAAGCACTACTTTGAAGAATTGAATGAAATTCACCAAAAGCTTACTCTGTCGCGGCAGCAGGTTATTCATTCTCCAAGTAGTTTCTACTTTCTAGGTTCTTGCTTTCCTTGCACTTTTGTTCTAATCTTCAATTTATTTAATATCTTGATGATTGCAGCTTCAGTCTCTTTTATCAGCAAAAGCGAACCGAAGTTTGGGACATATCATGAACAAAATAGATCATATATTAAAAGCGTTGCAATACTCCAAGAGTGATATCCAACCTGATCTGAAGGACATGCTCCCTGTGTATGAGAAAATAATAATTTTGTATCTAACTTTGTGCAAGAAATGCATCAAGCCACTGTTGTCATACCTGCCTCAGCAAGAACAACCTCAAGGTCCTCAACTAAGGATGCTTGATGGTTGTACAGACAACCAAATGAATATGCAAAGTTCAGAAACTTCAGTGCAGCCAGCTAAGAATCTTCCATGTTTAGCTGCTTGCGAGGTAAGTAAAACAGAACAGCCTATTCAACACATCATAAAATATGTTTAGCAACCTATCTAACTGTTCCTTTTAAATGTTGGTTTAGTCTTGCAAACTTAGTAGATAAATTTGGCAAATGGTTCCTTTTCGCTGAGTAAAGGCGAATGTACAACACAAATCACATGCGATACTGCTCATCTTTTGTAATTTTACCATCTTTTTGTTGATGTGTTGTAACCTTCTATATAATTAACTGGATTAGTGTAATGTTTACAACAAATCATCTGTTTGTATACACGTAATTATTCTCTTCTAAATATAGTTACATAGAAAATTGATTACAGGATCTAGTTTATACACAATTATCGAGTTTGGAGATGCACAGGCTTATAAAAATATTTGTATTTTCATTGTAGTATGTCGTATATTTATTATAATAACCTGCTTCTTCCTGTAAAACCAACAAAATCGTGGCTTAATAAACCTAGACTACTATGAGAACTTCTTTTATGATTATTGAACCACTATAGTGAAATAGCACTTAAATATGTTACTAATTGATAAAGAACTTTACAAGAGCGAGCACCGAGTTAGACTTAAACATGGATGCACATTTATTGTTATAGGAACTTTCATTTTTCCAATCGTCACCTAAAGAAAGGCATATTAAAATTGAGTCATAATGCTCCAACAGAAAGGTAAGAGTATTGCAAGCATGGACTGTCATATACATTTGCATACCTACATAGTGTCATAATGCTTGGTATGACACTGGGTCAATAAAGACCATATATTTATCTTTTTTTTAGGTGGGTTTTAGTTTCCAACTTGAGTAATATTATCCTAGACTTTTTATCTGATGCTGTAGTTACTTCTTGGAAACATTTGTTGAGGGCATATAGCAGAACCATGATCCTCTTCACTGGGTAAGGAAGGTGTTTGGTTATGAACTCTCGCTCTTCTTAATGAAGTGAAAGTGATAATGCAGATCTGTTGCATACTTTTGCAGTGGTTGATTCTGCTGGCTGACTCATATCATTACTAATGTTTCATTCTGATATCTCTGTTTCAGCAAACTATATCCTCTTTATTGGTCTACTGGGTTCCTTTGTTTTTCTTCGTTGAATAGAGTTAAAAAACCGAAATATTAACTTTTAGAATGCACTTGATTTGGGGTTAAAATAGCCTAGTTGGTCTAAGTAGTTGCTAATCCAGCAAACTAATTGGAGTTATCTGGCATGGCAAAGCAAATGTGAGGGGATTATTTTAACCCATCTTTTTAGTTGGACATTTCATCTCAAGTTATCCAGGTTTCATTTCTTTGACCAGATTATCTTAACCCTTCTTAACTCTAGCTTTTTTTGGAGATTTAATCTATAACCACCAGTTTAAACCTTCTGAGTCTTAAAATAAATGCAGTCTTAGCATGAATTTTTGAGTTAGCTTTGATTTGCAAATTGTAGTGGACCTGACAAACTTTCTTACCTCTTTTATTTGTGTCTTCAGGAAGCTACTTCAGACGATGAAAATGAAGAGAGGATGAGATCAGATATTGTCCCACCTAAGGTTTCATTTCTTTGACCAGATTATTTGAACCTTTCTTAACTGTAGATTGTTTGGAGATTTAACCTATAACCACCAATTTAAACCTTCTGAAAATTAAAATAAATGCAGTCTTAGCATGAATTTTAGTTAGC